CAAAAGGCTTTATAATGTGGTCTTATTATTTATAAGTATATAAAGTCAAAATAAAATCAATCAAATCAACATAATCAGGACAGGAACAGGAAACTAACCAAATATGGGCATAGGAAGGTACATGGGGAGCAAGACACACAAAACACGGAACAAAGTCTGACAACAGGAAACACTCAAACACACTGAACCACTCCTAACCGCTCACAAGATGTAGTAAGATACTGTGCACATCTTAAATAAATAATGTCACGATATGAGATAATCCATTATAAATTAAGTGGATTTAATATGGAATTAATTGTGTGTTATAAATACGCATTTGTGGTTATAACTTTTAAGAGTATGATTATTTATAACACACAATTAATTCCATATTAAATCCACTTAATTTATAATGGATTATCTCATATATTTATTTAATTTATTTAAGATGTGCACAGTATCTTACTACATCTTGTGAGCGGTTAGGAGTGGTTCAGTTGTTTCCTGTGTGTTTCCTGTGAGGTTAATATTAATTTTGCTGTGAGCTAGTTTTATTTTGACTTTAAACACTTATAAATAATAAGACCACATTATAAAGCCTTTTGGATGTATTCATGAAGTCATTTTACAGTAAAAACACTAATAAGATGTACTAAATTATTGTGCAGATCTTAAACAATGGCAAGATATGAGACTTATAATACATTATAACTATGAGAAATATAATTAATTGTAACTGAAGTGGATGCAACATGTTCACTGTGTGTTATAAATCATCGCACTCTTAAAAGCTATAACCACAAATAAATAAGTATTATAATACATTAACCCTCTGGGGTCCGAGGGTGTTTTGGGCCCTGAAGAAGTTTTGACATGTCCTGACATCTGTGCTTTTTTCAGTTGCTAATAAACATTTTAATGACTAAGTTTAGTAGCGGTGTTATCAGGAGAAGATGCCACAAAACGCGTATCCGCGTTAGTCGACCTCAGAGGGTTAAAACTGTTCTTATGATTATTTATGAGATGATACAACATATTACAAGGTTTTTTATAATGCATTATTCATTCATTATAATGCCTTACGAATACCCTTATTATGTATTATAAATGCGTACGAATACCCTTATAATGTATTATAAATATGGGCTTCATAGAAAGTAACCCCTTCTTTTTTTTTTTTTTTTGCAGCACCTTTTCTTTGCAAGAGCCACAACAAACAAACAAAACGAATAGTTTGCAAATAATTTGTAAATTTGTTATTAGATTAAATCCTCTGTTAAAAAGGCTGATGAAAGTGAATAAAAACATGATGAAAAAGCAAAAAACAGATTAAACTTTGTCAACGTAATAATTAAATGACTATTGAATATAATGCAGACCTGAGGCTTTAGTGAATTTCATTATTGAATTTCATTTCATTAATTTAATTTGTAAATTCCAGAAAGCATTAATTTGGAAAATCTTTCCACTATGAATTTGAATTTATATATATATATATATAGACACGCCCATAATTATTGACACACTT